GCTCCTGTCTACAGCCATTGTTTGGTTTGTCCATTCTGGGCTACTGTTAAAACATGTTGGTACAACATGGCGGACAATGGACAGAGACCTGCAGATAACATCCTCCTAAATGTTACACACTCCTAGCTTTTCAAAGCTTTTAACCACATTTCATGGTCTGCATCACGAATAGAGCTTGCTCTGGTGTCATCAAATGACCTCATTATGGAGGACAGTGACATTCAGTTAAAAGCACTGAAAAGCTACATAGTGGATTTTTGAGCTAATATATTACAACATTATGATTCTGTACATATATACAGATTTTACATGAATATACCTCCAGAGGGAAAATATGCCCATTTTACCTCGATGTTAGATATTCTGTGGGTACATTCAGCAATTTCTGTCTGTAAATTTTGTTGATTTGTGGGTGCAGCATTCCTAACAGAAGGCACACTGGACCCAAATCCAGTTCTTTATTGAAAACCAAATTTAACTTTGAAAGTGCTTTTACCCTGGTCCATATAGGGAGTACAAAACTAGCAACCTCCTTACTGCATTTAACAGCTTCAACAGATTCTTTGGGTCCATCTTATTTCTGAGTTAATGCGGATGCAGCAACCTGAGTTGTAGTTCCTTTCCTCTGTTACACTTGGATATGTTATTAGCATACTTCCATAGTGTAGGAACCTAAAAAGATTTATAGTCTTTAGTTTATAGTAGCTTATATTTTTTGTTGATCAAATGACATCATTCTGGGCTAAGACTATTTTGTTACATATGGCTTCAAGTCTTCTCCCTCTTTACATCCTCACACTGATTATGATGGATCAAACCTATATGGACAAGAGCTTTATTCCCTACAAATCCAACAAAATCATTGTCTTTTACATCATGCTCTCACTCTCTCTCCATATTATACAGTGTGTGTGTGTATATATATATATATATATATATATATATATATATAGATATATAGATATATAGATATATAGATATATAGATATAGATATATAGATATATAGATATAGATATATAGATATAGATATATAGATATATAGATATATAGATAAAAGATATATAAAACCGCCATAACATTAGGACCATTATTATTACATTATTATTTTGTAGATTTTTGTTAACTTTTGCACCTTTTGTTTTGTTGATGTTGACCTGCCTACCCTTCCCTACCTTTATTCATTGTTGTTGCTCCTGGGATTCACTGTGTGCGACGCCACCAGTTGGACAGTCTAGAGGAGGAAAGGGCAAACCTGGCATCCCAGTGTGAAGAGCTCAGGTTGAGCCTGCAGCAGCAGAGAGAAAATGCACAAAAGGGAAGCACAACTCCACACCGAGCCACTGATTCCACTGTACAAACAGATCCAGTGGAGGCAGGAGAGACAGCGGCCTCTGGCATGGATTCAAGCTCAAATACATCCAGAAGGTTGGATTGTTAGAAAATCTTTTTCCTTTTATGTTGTGTGATTTATCGCTGTCTGACAAAGCCATTTATGAACTCAACAACCCAGCAGAAAAACAGTGTAAATCTGATTTTTACTCTGTGTCTCTCCTCCCCTCAGTTTGATTGAGCTTCGACACAACATCGGGCGCCTTCTCATCTCCTTCGTGCCAGCTCTGGACCTGGGCCAAGTGAATTATGAGTGTAATGTAATTGATGAGATCCTAGAACAGGTTCTGTTCGATGTGGAGTCTGTCGTACCGGTGGGTCGGAGCAATAAATAAATAAACACATCGTGAGATCCTGCACTTAGTGCAGTACCTCACCTGTAAATAATTAACACAGATTCCTGTGAGTGTGGGACATGAAGTCATATTTATTTGAATGTATGTACATGTTTACAGATTGTATATTGATACACATTAAATATTAATGTCTTTATCTTAACAGATGACAAATAATTTAAACAATATAATCACAGTGTACATAAATTAATGTTGTAGGGCCATTCACTTTGCTCTTAAGTTTCCAGGTAGAATCACAGTAATAATATTTTAATCATTGTTTGATCTGTTGTTGATCAGTTCATTCCAGTCACAATTGTGCATTTTGTTGGTTATTTTAAAAAGATCCTGATTCTGCATCTGCTTCTGTTTCTGTTTAACAATATCAACTTATTGTTTCCTCTTTGGTTTGTATTGAAGCATATTTTGTATTGATTGCGTTGAATATATTTTTATATTTCCTGAATTTTCTCTCTGAATAAATACTCTATGGACCATGTTTATTGGTATTCTTTTGGATCTTTCTGATAGGGAAAACGTTATAGAAGATAGAGCTGGCAGCGAGCCTTACAGTCTGTTTCTGAGTGATACAAACAAACTTAACTGAAAGGGTTATCAAGAACCTCCATGAAGTCCTTAAACTGGTTGTGCTTGCTTGTGTAATGTGTAATTGACAGGCATTATACAGGACTGAATTTGCATGGTGTAACTGCAGGCAAATAGTTCCTCCTCTCTGGGCTGAAAGAGTACATTGTCATCTCTATGTAGGAACTATTGCTGTGGGGTTTTACAGGCTTGTAAAGGACACAGTTTGGGGTTGTGATGATGATTGGATTTTTTTAATTTTTAGATTATGTTAATCTTTATTAAGGAAGCCTTATTAAGATCAAGATACAATTTGCAAGAGAGACCTGAGAACAAATTTCCTTTATTTAAGCTCATAACTAGACGAGCAGACACAAAACAACCATCACATGCTAAAACACTCACAAATATTAGTAAGTAGAACTTTAAAGTTGACTTTAAAGTCTGTTGTAATGATTGCTCACTAGGAACTCAGCTAATGGTTGGATGGTGCATATCTTGGCAACTATACTTTAAATGAAAATGTATGTATGAATGTAAAAGAAAATATGTATGTTGGTCAATAGTGAGTGTGATAGTCGTCAAATCGAATGGTGCTTTGTGTTAAGTGTCCATAGTGGCAGCGGCATAAGCATAAAGGATAACAAGTGAAGTCGGGGGAAAATGGCTCTGACTCCCAGACCATCAGCACCGGATCCCCCCAGGGCTGCGTTCTTTCTCCTCTGCTCTTCTCCCTGTATACAAACAGCTGCACCTCCAGTCACCAGTCTGTCAGGCTCCTGAAGTTCGCGGATGACACCTCCCTCACTGGGCTCATCTCTGGTGGAGATGAGTCTGATGAGCCTACAGATAGAAGATTGACCATCTGGTGACCTGGTGCAGCCAGAACAACCTGGAGCTAAATGCTCTAAAAACAGTGGAGATGGTTGTGGACTTTAGAAAGAACCCAGCCCCACCCGCCCCCATCATCCTGTGTGACTCCCCAGTTGACTCTGTGGAGTCCTTCTGCTTCCTGGGTACCATCATCACCCAGGACCTCAAGTGGGAGCTGAACATCAGTTCCCACTCTAAGAAAGCCCAGCAGAGGATGTACCTCTTGAGGCAGTTGAAGAAGTTCAACCTGCCAAAGACAATGATGGTGCACTTCTACACCGCCATCATCGAGTCCATCCTCATCTCATCTATCACCATCTGGTACGCTGCTGCCACTGCCAAGGACAAGGGCAGACTGCAGCGTATCATTCCTTCCGCTGAGAAGGTGATAGGCTGCAACCTCCCATCCCTCCAGGACCTGTACGCCTCCAGGACCCTGAGGTGTGCAGGCAAGATTGTGGCTGACCCCTCCCACTCAAATGTGACACTTAAAAATATCTCCTCAATAAAACAGTTATATAAACTTGACTGCAAACTACATATTGCAATTTTTTTTACTATTGTGTTATTTAATTACTATGTGTGTTATTTAATAAACTATAATTTGTGAATAGAACATTAACCATTAGGACACAAATTGTAACCATTAATTACTTATTAACTAAATGGTTTCTAAGTTACAATTATGTTTTACAAGAGACAGTTGGCCAAATGGCAGAAAGTAGTGAGGGTGAACTAATATTATGTGTTATATTGTTATTCCAAGACTAGTAATCAGCAGTTATATCCAGGGTGTGGATTAGTTCATAGCCATTAGTAAAGCAATAAAATGCATCTCTGAGATTACACTATATTTTACATTCTTAATCCCTTCGCCACTTGCCCGACTATTCAAACTGCTTTCTGCACTTTTTGTCTAATTTTTCAGTTGGAAACTACATTCAAACCTTATGAGATATATTTAAGTTTTTTTATTCCCATTCATAGTTATTAGACTCTTTTCCACTTTTCCAACTACAGTACTCTTTCAGCTACTAATACAAATTAAAGCCAGCAACAGATGAGATCACTTTATTGTCTTCAGAATGACCACGCCCCATTTTGGGTGAAACAAGCTGTAAAATTGCATCACATCTTGCATATCAGACAATATAAAACCCAGGTTATGACTTTCTTCACTTCCCCCAAAGACCAAAGGGCAGTAAAAGAAGAGCTCTGTGGCTTTAGGCCTAAACTGGTAAAGACCTCAGAATTGATATGTAAAGGTTTCACTCTTTACAGGGTGGCGGGGCTTGAAGCAAGGCCGAAGTACCCAGATGGGCTGCTCTCATCTATTCAGTTTAGCATCAGCTTTTCATCAAACCCTAAAATCACCTTTTACAGATCATTTATACTAGGTAACTTTTACAGCCACCGGTTTAGTTTAGTGTCAGCTTTTCAACAAATCTTCAAATATCTTTCACACAATTTGAGAGGGTAGTGGAAAGGTAAATGTTTAAATTAAACTTTGTTTACATAAACCATTAATGTATGATGACATCTGTAAATGTTAATGCAGACTGACTGAACATGAACAAATAAAATAAACAATTTAGTCACAAACAAATAAATTATTTTCTTGATTTTATGAATGATAACTTTTATTTTTATATTTCAATCTAACATCTTAATGCTTTGGCAATAGTGTGTTTTCTACACTAAATGTAATCAATGTGTTTTCCACTGTAATGTGATTACTCCTACAAGTTTGACTAAAAGTGAACGTGCCAAAAAAAGGGGGCAAGAACGTGACGACACAAAAAGTCTCCTCTCTTCCGGGTTTGCGTCCAATCACTGCAGCCTGCTCAACCGGAAGTTTTGAACGAATCGTACGCGGGAAATTATTGCTCGCTTCAGCTGGACAACGAAGAAGGTAACACACACTCTAAGCTACTTCGATATAACTTCAGTTCAAAGCATAAACTGATAAAACTCGGTTGTATTTGCAGCGAACATAGTTGTGAGCGAACAGTGGCTCACGTATACACATACATGTTGTTGTCGTTCGTCCATAACTTTAGCCACAAATCACACCAACAGAGCCGCTAAGTTCACTGCTAAGGGTGTTAGCTGGTTGTAGCAGTCCCAGTGACTGTGTCGCATAATTAGCAATTGTTTCTTACCTTACTTTACTCTGCATTCCTTTATACAGGGTCCATATTGTCCAACATGTAGAGATATACGACTGTGCTAGCTGCCGAGCAAATATCAACCCATTTAAATTTGTCTGAAGTAGAGCTGCACAATTATTTTAAATATTATCGACATTGCAATATGGCCAAGTGCAATATGTAAATCAACAGAATAACAGTATTATCATGAAGCACTGTAGTGCTGCAGAGATGCTCTGGCCTACAAATGTTGTTCTTGATGTAAGAAAACAGGTTTGTTACAGATTCAGACAAATATAACGTCATCATGATTTTAAAAAAAAAATTCCCAATAAAAATTGTGATGCAAAAACTATAATTCCCACTAATCATGAATTCTACTGCAATCGTAATATCTGTCAACATAACTATGTATGATTTTTTACCATATATTGTGCAGCCCCAGTCTGAAGTATCATATGTTTTCTTTCCTGAGGTTATACAAAATGAAGTTGGTAACGTGTGAGATCGCATGGCACAACAAGGAGCCAGTCTACAGTCTGGACTTCCAGCACAGCTCAGATGGACGCATTCATCGGCTGGCCACAGCTGGAGTGGACACCACAGTCAGAGTGAGTGGAGATAGAGAAATTATTGCATCTGGTTAGTAATGCAGTGATGAACCAACAGTTTTGTAAAATGTAAATCTGTGCATGCACGGATTTATCACACAAAGTAAATGTTACTTTACCATAAAAGCAAACTTAATGGTTGCCGGTGTAAGGGCAAATGTGCAGGTCCAAAAGAATGGGGTTTGCGCTATTTGTTGAAGAAAACGTCACGTAATATCAATATATATCAAATAAATAATTTTCATTCTGATATACTTAATAGGACATAATTAGGGCCTTTCCCAGGACCTCAAATGGGTGAATGTGTCTCACACAGGATTCCCCAAACAACATTTAATCAGATTTGTACACATTTAACCTGTTAGAAATACATCAATAGGTATGAAAAAAGCAGTAAAAATAGTCTTCTTTTTGTACATTTGTAATCAAATTGCAGTATACCGTAAGACAAGTCATCCTCAAGCCGCCATATTTTACAATGGAGTTGTATGATTGATATGCAAATTACTAGCAAAACACACCTTACATATGTTTACAAAATATTACTTTGAGTAAAAATTAGTAAATAATCGGTTTATATTTACCTTTAGCTGTGGTATGTAAGCTGTTTAATGACCATTTACCCTGATGTTGATGCAGCTGTGGCGGGTAGACACGGGCCCAGACGGGAAGGCAGTGGTGGAGTTTCTGTCTAATCTGGCTAGACATACCAAGGCTGTCAACGTAGTGCGCTTCAGCCCTAATGGAGAGCTGCTTGCTTCAGGAGGAGATGGTATGTCACATATAACACACAGATGCAAGGTAAAATCTGTGCTATGTAAAGTCTTAAGGGTCACTATTAAGGTACCACTAAGGCATTGGGGATGTTATTGTCAAAACAGAAATTATACTTTAATACTACGGCTAAAATACAAAATACAATAGCCTTTAGTAATTGTGTGGTTTTTATTTGGTTTCAGATGCAGCGATTTTGCTGTGGAAGCTCAATGACTCTAAGGAGCCTGAGCAGACCCCCATCTTCCAGGAGGATGAAGATGCTCAGCTCAACAAGGAGAGCTGGTCTGTGGTCAAGACACTAAGGTACACAATTCTGCCAGGCCAGTCAAGAATTTAAGACAATTTCTACCTCTAACAACCCTCAGGCTGTGGCCCTGTGTGGTTAGTGTTACTTTGTTGTTGTTACTACTGTTCACCTTGCAGTTGTCCAGGCAGGATAAAATAATTCACACTAGGGATGACCTGATCCAATCTCAAAGGTCGGTATCGGCTATATTGAGCTGTTTCAACCCAATGGTTTTATGCCAGCTGTCACACAGCTGTTTTTATTTGTGGAGCTTTCATGCACGGTGCAGCCATTGTCAGATCTGTGTGCTGTCTGCCTCTCCATTGTGCTGAGCTCTGTGAGAGCACGGAGAGCCCCGCCCATGGTGAAACAGTGAAAAGAGAGACAGACAGTGGTAGAGAGCCGACACAACCACACTGACCACGCCACTCAAAGTGCAACAAGAGCCCCATGAACAAAAAGCTAATAAGGGTAATTAATTAATGTAATTCGCACAAAAGCTGTAGAGATGACAGAAATAAATACTCATCAGAATACAGACAGTTCATTCAGGTAACTTGAGCAAAGGCTGCACCGAATGCATCAAACACTGGAGAAAATCCCTCCAGACAGCAACATATTTTCTACTTTAGTCTATTGTCAAGTCAATTGTTAAACCATATATATTGGATTGATTTTAATAACTTAAATGTTCTTTAAGTGTGCACTGTGCCCCTGTATTATCTTAAAGTATCGGATCAGGACTCTGTATCGGCAGGTACTCAATGTTAAATGACTCGGACCGGATCAGCAAAAAAAAACTAATTCACCCTAATTCACACCTTGAGGATATTTGAAGTTGTAAAATCCTGCCCTGACGTATTATAGTCCACAGTGAGTGCAGTGATTTTGTATGGTCATATTTTATCTTCTCACTGGTGTCTCCCAGTTTAGCTTCCTTTGCAAAACTGACTGTCACATGTCAGACATTTTCAATGTCAGCACTTAAAATCACTGAGACAGACAAGTGGGAGAGATAAGAGATGTCCATTTTGCAATTTGCTATTTTAATGATCTAAATTTGTTTTTGTCTTTTGTTTAGGGGACACATAGAGGATGTTTATGACATCTGCTGGACACGAGATGGAAATTTCATGGTGTCTGGGTCTGTTGACAACACTGCTGTTATGTGGGACATCAACAAAGGTTTGCTTAGATTCATAGATATCTATGTATATTCCACTGATTCAGTTTAATCTGTTATAAAGTATTTTAGTAATGCAAATTCGATTATTTTGGCTTTGTATAAATTACATTGGTTCCAACTGTTTTTGTGTTTTTAGGACAGAAGCTATGTATCTTGAATGACCATAAGAGCTATGTCCAGGGGGTGACCTGGGATCCTCTGGGGCAATATGTAGCCACTCTCAGCTGTGACAGGTAGAAAAACACAGACACCCTTTTTCAAACAACATATGGCCTGCCTAATGGGTCTAACCTTTCTCTTTCTGTTTCGTATTTGCTGTTGCTTAGCCAGTCACTGACAGTGTGGTTTCAGCAACCCTTGATGCTTGAGGTGTTTTTATTTTTTCTCTCTTTCAGAGTGATGCGTGTGTACAGTACTCACACCAAGAAGAAGGCCTTCTGTATCAGTAAAATGAGCTCTGGGCCGCTTGCAGAGGGAGAGGTCAGTAGAAACTTTTGATTACTCTCAGTTGAGTCACCCTATTGAGTTTTTTAGATGAGATTATTCTACATGAAACTCTATTCTCACTCCTGTTGCTGTTTTTGCCACCTGTTGGCTAAAACTTGTTCATGAGACTTCTTAGTATTTGTCTTATAATTCCCTATTTGGGAATTTGGTCTTGAAATAAAAAAATCTATCTGCTTTGCTGTCAGGTGAGTGAGACATGTAACATATATACCTTTTCTTTTAATCTTTGCAGGTCAAGCAGTACCGAATGTTCCATGATGACAGTATGAGGTCATTTTTTCGACGTCTTTCATTCACACCAGATGGGTCTTTCCTGCTCGCCCCAGGTACCTACACAGCATGCTCAAAATATGAGTTTTACTTGGCATTTATCTGGTGAGGTTTAGTGTATAATATCCTAGTAATGATAATTTATATACCAAGTTCTATCTTCTGCTGTCACCCCTTTTAACCTCAGCTGGATGTGTGGAGATAGGAGAAAATGTCATAAATACTACCTACATCTTTTCCAGGAAGAGCCTCAAGAGGTAACTTTTGTGACATGCTGTGATATTTATAGTTTTTCAAAGTCAGTGTTGGATATATTGACGCTGTTATTGATGCACAAATCCCTGTGTGTGTGTTTTAGGCCTATTGCCCACTTACCATGCCCATCTAAAGCTACACTGGCTGTGCGCTGCTGCCCCATCTACTTTGAACTGAGAACCAAAAAAGGAGAAGGCAAGGATGATAATGAAGTCCTCCCTTTTTTTATTGTCTGCACCCTTTAAGTCCCTTCTGTTTTACTTGTATGTGCTCCTCATTTTCTTCTCTTTCTTCTCTACAGATGGTTCTATACAGACTCTTCCCAATGTATTCCAGTTGCCGTACCGCATGGTGTTTGCTGTGGCATCTGAGGACTCCATCTTTCTGTATGACACACAGCAGACTCTTCCTTTCGGCCTGGTGTCCAACGTCCACTACCACACACTCAGCGACCTTACATGGTAAAGTCTTGCATAGCTAAAAACCTTTTTGAATAATCTTTGTGGGAGTGAATTGTGGTGTGTGTCCTGGTAGGTACACACATAAGATTGTTTCATGTATGTATAAAAATAATTTTAACTACCTTAACAAAACAGAAGGGGTCTCAACTTTACTAACACAATACACAACGAAATAGAAAAGAAACACATCCACATACACGACTGGGATGACATAAATACATTTGAATTACTCAATATGTTGTTGTCAGATCCAATATTGTCAATTACATCGCACAAAGTTCAGACCAGAGGGGTCCACCGTGTCTAATATTGGCTGACATATCTTAATAAATCCATCAACATTGTCACAGAGAGTCAGCTTTTCTAGAGGGAGTGGTAATATTAATTTTATGGGACAAATATATTGGGTTTTTTTATGATGATTTTCTATGTTTATTTTGCTACTTTAATGGTCTGCCTCCAAAGAACCAGTGAGGACAGCTGCTTTGTTTAATAACAAATGTAGGAGTAAGAATAGAATCAGAAGAGTTCAGATGTCTTGAACCAGACTAGGACCGAGGCCTTTTAGCATTTAAAAAAACAATCTTATTTGCATTTATTAAAATGTAGACAGTACATTATGCCAATTCAGTTTTTTCTTTTTCTTAGTTTTTAGTGTCTGTCATAGTTTCTACTCTCCATTCCAGCCATAAGGAAATTGCTTCCTAATGCAATTCCGTTGTATGTGATGGGGAACAAAATCCACACGTTTTCTATTATATCCTCTTTAGGTCTCGTGATGGTTCCTTCCTAGCTGTGTCCTCTACAGACGGTTATTGCTCCTTCCTGTCCTTCTCTCCTGGGGAGCTGGGCACCCCACTGAAGGAGCCCCCCACCCTGGAGGTCTTTGCCCCAAACAGTGGTGTTGAGAAAAGGGGCAAGAAATCGGCCAGGACCTCATCTCCTGTGACCCAGCCACCAAGCTCAGCCCCGACTCCCACATCCCAAACCAGCCATGGCAAAGATGTCCCCTCTGTCACCCCTCCAGAAGAGAAGAAGAGCACCCCCAGTGCCAAGTCTAAACCTCAGCCCCGTAGGATCACCCTCAATACCCTGGAGGGCTGGGGAAAGCCCTCCACCCCTAAAGCCACAGCTCCTTCAGCACCTCAGACTCCAACATCAGCAAGCACAAGTGCACCCTCTACTCCCCAACCATGTGTTGCTCCTCTCACCCCTACCAACTCCTCCAAAACACAGCCACGCATCACCCCCCTCACTCCCTCCACCCCAAAAGTCCACAACAGTGCAAATACTCCAGGGCCCACTACGCCTAAGGGTACAACCACCCCAAAGGGGCCCACCCCAAGGTAAATGCATATCGAGTGATCATGTTTTATTCTGTCACAGTGAGTAAAAGGCAAAGCGTGAGTTACTTTATTATTAAAGTGTGAAGCTCTGTATAAAGGCACAGCAATGCTTTGATTGTTGGCATGTAGGTATTTCAGTGCATATGAGGGAAGGTGAGAGTTAATGATAATGATTATTACATTGTTAATTAATAATTGAATGTATCATATTTTAGAAACTTTGTTTTATTTTGTTATGGCAGTATTCAGATAGGTGATTTGGATGCTTTTGTCTCCAAGTTACTGACCCCTGTGAAGAATGTCCACACTGCCAAAATCACTTGTTATTTATGTGAGGATTTTATGTTATGTAATTGACATAATTTTATAAGTAAAACTTTATATAGCACTTTTCAAAATCAGGGTTACAAAGTGCTTCACAGTTGCAAAAAAAATGATAAAAGCATCTTAAAAGCTATTTAAATAGTGAGATCAGTTTTCTGACTAGGTCAACAAAAGCTTAGTCATTAATAGTCTTAAACTTTGTCTATGGTGGAGCTAAATTGTATAACACCTCAAAAGTAGCCTGAAGGGTTTTGAATTTAATCCTAAATGTGTCAGGAAGCCAGTATAGTGAAACCATCACTGGGGGTCATAATGGGGTCGCTGTGAAATTTTAGTTAGTAATCGTGCAGCAAGATTAAGGTAATTTAAATGTTCTCTTGCATTACGGGTATTTAAAACAGTGTTTATATGTACTGTAGGCAGTGTGAAGAAAGCACGTGCTGCCTCACACAAGCGTACATATGGTAATTTATGGAAATAACTTGAACTATTCAAATAAGTTGTGAGTCAGACTGAGGAAGTAACTACACAGAGCATACTGCATCCACCTCCCTCCCCCACTAATGATTAAAGTAACTAAGATGGTTATATTTAAAGATTCAGTTTACAGAGATGAATACTAAAATGTGTAAAAGGAGTATTTTTTTATGTTTTTCTACTAATTCAGGAAAAATATAAATAGCTGTAATGGGATGTTTTTTTGGTGTGCATGTGCTTAGTACTGGCAGTGAGAACAAAGCCCTGTCTGGTATGAGGGATTCGTTGGACCCCCCACTGACGATAAAATAATAATCACTCTGACAGACTGTGTGTAGACAATGGCAGGTCTGCACAAGCTTTTGTTTTTGCCTCGTATCTGTAACTTGGAACGTTTGCCTTGGCTAGTCTTGACTAGTTTTACTAGTATGCAACAACTGAATCCAGAGAACAAAAACAGGGAATTAATTAAGTAGAAGAGTCCAGTTATTGTCCTATTATATGCCTGTGTGTTTTCTGTTGGTCTTTACCATTCGTGCTTTTTGTCTTTGTTTACAGGAGAGTATCTTTGACTCCCGTTGCATCAAGAATTCCAGCTGTTAGTTCACTGTTCCGCACTCCCTCCTCCACTGAGAAGGCCAAACATGGTTAGTGAGAGCAACTACTTTGGCTGCAAATATCACAACAGAAATTGAATGATTCAAAATCATGTACGATGCTGCCTTCTTTGGCAGCCTTAGTCCCCGCAGTCGGTTATGATTAGCGATGCATCAATCCAACTCTTCTCACCTGATACCGAATGGAATAAGAGTATCCGACTATACACTTTTCCCCAAATTTTAAATCTGTATTCTTCACTGCATCAAACTCCTTGTAGGCATTCTTATGTAAGGTAACGTGAGGCCAGGGGTTGCCATTGCGCTAAAAGGTCCATTCAATCAGGCCAGAACCGGACTGGTGCATCCTTAGTTGTGATCAGTGTATTTATAAAGAAACTGTGCTCTTGTTGTGCCTCGATATACAATATTATTATAAGTCCAGGCACTTAAATGACATCTGCTGTATGTATTATTCTTTATAGTTTGGCAGAAAAGCAAGAGCGTAAAAACTCGAACGATTTTACTATTTACATTTTGGGGCTTATTTTTATAGTTTTGACCATCATTTCCAGTGGGTATCATAAACTTGTAGTAAACTTGTGCTGAAATCTAGGAACACTGTGACATTGTTACACTGAAGTCCAATGGAGCAAGAAACACAAGCTATGAGACAATCGGACAAATAAACTAATAGCATAGCCTGATAACCCAAACCACGTTGTTTAGAGGTAAAGGAAAAGTTAGCACACTCAAACAGTAATAATCCTTCATTGTGTGTGTTTGTGTGCTATGGCAAGCATGGTAGGCCAAAGGCCAGGGTGTGGGTCTGTAAACTGTAAGGTATTTGCCTTGTAGAGATATAGTGCATAAATGTTGTCCTGAGCTGAGAATGAGCTGAGTGACTGAATCTGCTGTTTTTCTCATCTACGTCGGTGAATTAAAGTTTTATTTTGAACAAACCAGAGTTGGTGACTGTAGAAAGACTAACAAAGACAGTTTTAGTGAGTTTTATTTTGTTTGTCCACTTTGAATGAAGTTGCAATGTTTTTATTGAGTCTGGTGGCCAGCAATTGCGATACTGTGGCTTTTCCTGGTTAAACAAAAGGGCCAAATCTGTAGGGATTACTTCTAGTGGCTTTGACGGGCGTATTTGTCTCCAACATTGGCTCATGTTGCAGCCAATGCAGCCCTTTTGCCTGATATTTTCTCATCTAACTCTGTGAATTAAGGGTTTGTATTGACAAAAACAGTATTGGTGATTGTTAGAAATACTAAAAGACTGGTGAGTTTTTATTTCCGTTGCATTGTTCTGGTCTAGCTGCTGGTGCTCTAGTGCAACATCCAGTTGCAAGTGAATTTTGTATATATAACCTTTAAAGCTTGTATGTTCATTTTAACTGCTCATGTTTCTTGCTCAGTCGGACTTCTTTTGACTTTTTACTGCCAGGTTCACAGATCTCAAAATAATAACTAACTATAGTTCCATACGGTTTCTTACATCACAGCAGAGGACCATAGTCTACACAGAAACAGGCTATAATGTGTAACCCTTCTGTCACTGATTTGTCTTCATTTCTATTTCTCCAGAGCGTCCTTCTCCTCCCACAGATCCAGTGTGCCAGCCTCCAGAGTCCAAACGGCCCAAGACCAGCGAACCCCCAGCAAACACCAGTGTCACCCAGGCTTAGTGTTTACTGGGAACAGCGCAGTGCTATGATATCAGAAAAGAGTACATATAGCAGAGGGGGACAGTTAAAAGTCCAGTGTGTAACATTTAAGAGGATCTATCGGCAAAAATTGAATATATTATACATAACTAGGTTTTTATTAGCGTATAATCACCTGAAAATAAGAATAGTTGTTGTTGTTTCCTTAGAATGAGCTGTTTTTATCTACAGACATCCTGTGTCGGCATCCACGGAGGTTGCCATGTTAAACCAGCATGTTTCTACAGTAGCCGTAGCAGAACGGACAAACACTGGCTCTACATAGTGATGTTTTTTGCAGCCATCATAGTTCCTCCTACACACTTTGAAGGGGAAGAAGTTGCAATCTTCATCTTCATTGCTAGATGCCACTGAATCTTACACACTGGTCCTTTAAAGAAGCCTCAGTACAAAACCACTGAGGCTCCCCGTGGATGTAACATAGTACAAAAGCATTGTGTGTTTGGCTGATATTGTCTGTACTTGATGTTAGTAGATGAAGCTTGAACCTCAGATAATGTACTCAGTTATACAACAAACTGCATTGCAGTAAGTGTCCTTGAACTAACTTTTATTTTAGTCGTGTGTGTTTTGTATCATACAGTTTTGAGGTAATTGTATTATATTTGATTTTTGTTTTTACATTCAGATGCTTAAGTGCTGTTGTAAAAAAAGGAAAGTTCTGTCATCTCTTTTCACTAATATGTGATTGTAAAAAAAATTGCCCTTGAAAGCCTGAGAAAGAAAAAAGAAAAGCGATTCAGGTTTTATTTCCTTGTGACACCTTTGTATAGTCTTTATCTTAAGACTGTTGACCAACAACTTGAATGAAAAACTCAACATTGTCAAGCATTTAAGAGTCATTTTCTCATTGTCTAATAAAGGATGTTTCATATATGGGGCATTTTTAAGCGGTTTGCAGAAAATGGCTGTGGGATGATTCATGCTTCCTTAACAAGCAGCTGGTAGTTATGTAAAAGGTTATTTTCTATTTGGAAAATGATCATTCATAGGCTGTCTGTGTTAAAGCTGAATGGATTAGAAGGCTTACACCTCCTGAGACATATTTACAGGAATACAGGAATGTAGAATTAATGCTACAAAGTTTTTAAGTAGATGTGCATGGCTGTTTGTCTCCATGAATTCAGGTCTAGCCAGGATTTTAAAAATCCTCAGGTCAGAAGTTTTTGACTGCAAAGGAAAAGCAGGTCTATTTTTTCTTATTTGTGGTTTCCAGTTATATGTTACATGTAACTGTTATATTTTCTATTGATTTTAATTCTCTACGTCATCTAAATGTTCTCCATACTGCCAGGAAAATGCTGGTAGAGAAACAATGAATACTTCACTTTCTAATTGTCACAAAATAAATCAAATTTAAACCTAATGACACTTGAATACAGGGATCATCCAGTAAGTTACCCAGCACATGTATGTTTTAATACTCCAAGGCTGATAAATCCTCCAAATACAGAGGATGTGTCCTGTGTCTTCGATGGTGGCCCTGACTGTATTTAAAGTATTGTATGATTGATTTGGCTCAGGTTTCACTTTGCAAACCTTTTAATACAAACAACCAACAAGAGTTGGTAAATTCTTACCTTGAAACACAAAATGCCGACCTAATATACAAAGAGTAAAACTAAATCTTACACCTCTCATATACGTTTCAATGCTTATAATTACATGTACAGATTGTGCAGCATGTGTTTGCAAGCATTTCTCCTTATTTTAATATTGCCATAATAATTGCTAATAGAGTTCACCGCTGTGGCAATGCTGGAAAGAAATAGAGGAATATTGGTTTGTTCTGTAGTGTAAATTGTGTTTTAATATTATATCCTTTGATTTTTGCTCGCTGCATTTGACATGAAAACTGTAAACTGAATAGTGACTCAAAAACAAGGTTTGGTGTCCTTAAATTAAAACCAAAACAGATGAACATCCCAGTCCTCATTTTGTTTTGTATGAATGTAGGATGTACTGTGGGTATCTGTATTAACAAAGGTGCAGCATAATCAATTACTCGACATCTCTCTTCACAAATTGCCAATTTCTTCTCGAATAGTCTTTTAATTTACCATTTCTTTGTTTTAATGACAATTATCTACTGTTTGACAGCAGTATTCTATAATAACTTGTTTTAATGCAACAAGGATTAAATACGAATTAATTCAGTAATGAACATACAATGTTGTGATGTTGACAGTGTATTTATTTGATACAGATGTTTTCATTTTCTGTTCTGTGTGAGGTTATCAGGCTAAAATAATTTGTAGGTTTGAATTTGGTGTTTTGAGATTTGAAGATTATTTTGTGAAATTGGACCCAAAACAATTATATTACTGAAATACTGTATTAGAATATTTGTAACAGACATTAACATGATAGTGACAGCTAACATTTTAAAGTCTAAAATAATGTGATGGTATTTGCTCTACCTAAATAATGTCAGGTCATTTTCTTCAGAGGATAAAAAACTCGACAACGTTGACATCCTATATTTAGAAAGAAAGGTGTATCATCTTTAACTTGACTGGGCAGCAAGTGAAGCAAATACTAGAATGCTGGCGTCGTGTGCGAACAACCTACCTTGCTAGGAATGGTAAAAAACTAACTTGAGTGACAGCTCCATCGTCCAATCACATTTCGTCTTGCAGAGGCTCTTTAAAGCTTCTGCTAATGGCCTTTGTCTGAAGGCGGGGGGAAGACTAGGCTCAGTTAGGCTGCTGATTAGCAACAAACAGAAGGTTACGAGTTTAAAAAATTGGACTATTTGACCGCCAGACTGGATTTGCGGCAGCGAGAGAGGAATGAACTATGTCGGGTGTCTAACCGGAGCTTGTTGGGTCGCTTTTGAGGGGACCCGGCGGTGATTTGTAACATTTCGGGCTGTTAGCGGAGGCAACCTCGCTGTTAGGTCGTTGAAGTGGCGATGCTGAGCTGATAGCTGCGTCATCATGTTGCTTCCGACTCGAGTTGGCGAAAAGAAATCTCAAGTTAACGCCAGCGGCGAGGCTGTCCGCCGTCCCCCAGCCCCGGAGGCCACTCCCGGCCCCTGAAATAGATGGAAGACGGACGGTTGGTGAGCGGTTGGTGAGCGGTTAGCGGTGAAGCCTGTTTACGTGGTCGCCGTGAAAGTGGCGACTTTACATCACTTGGCTCGGCGTTTGTTGGCGCGATACTCCTCCTGGCTGCATTTATTATCCACACTTGGATGGAGAAGTCAAGAACATTTTCGTGTGGATGTTGTTGCGTAGCGTTACAAAAAAAAAAAAAAAATTAGTACAGAAATATGAGCCAATGTTTTTTTTTCCCGAACAGAAAGTGGAACTATGTTGATATTTTAGGGATGTTAGCAGAAAGTGTTTGGATAGAGAGAAGTGATGATGCCCTCACTGACAGCTAGGGTACAAAGCAGGAGCCTCCAGTGAAATGCTGCTGACTCCCATCTGATGGTGACTTTCTTCCGTATCCCCAGAAAAGAGAAAATGTTTTTATAAGCCACAATGAGAGACGTTACGGTTCATTTTAGCTAAGTGGCTTTGTAGCCGTCCACTGGGATACGCCGGTCTGTTAGCAGGGTGTCTACAGAGAGTGTGTTGGGACTTATTGTTAGGTCGGTGGTCTGTTTGCTGTCACCGTATCCACGTGGACTTTGTTTCAGGTCGGTGGGTAAAGTTTGGCTCGCAGCTCTCCGCCGGGAAAAGCGCCAAGGGTTAGCGACCCAGCCGGAGCTAGAGAGAGATTTTTTGGTGTTGTTACTTCAAAGAGGAAGAAGCTGTGGTCTCTTTCAGCCTGGACAAAGTTACTTTTCACACCAGAATATAAAACCGGTTAAAATGGCCGGCGACTGCACCCACACCAGCGCTCATTACGCGAAAGCAGAGACGTTTTGTCCGTCCAAACCCGGGTCGGATGGAGACAGAGAGGGAGCCGGAGGGATGGAGTCAGCCGGGATCTCGAAAGGGTGTGGACCATCGGCACGGTGGGCGCCTAACTTTGAGATGATAGACGGGATGCTGTACCGCAAGAAGCTGGAGAGGGGCTTCATCAACTACCGGGAGGTTCTGGATGAGGACCGGAGACATGAGGCCATCTCCACCTTTCACCGGCGGCGGCCTGGTCAGCGCCATCTCTCCCTGGAGGAGACCTACAAATGCGTGGCTGAAAACTACTGGTGGGAAGGTATGAACATCACCGCCTGCCTTACATCTCACAGGACAGCACACTGTAAACTAACTTCTGTCTTCTTACTGGTTATCTTGACTGTTTTTATTTAGAGGGGTTTTATTTATTTACTAATGATCGACTCAATCAAAGAAACTTACCCAAACCTGAATGACAGCTGTTAACTATGCTCCTGGTCTGTGAGATGACACATTTCAGCTCCTGGCTTTTATCAGGAGCAAAAGGCAATACTGCAAATGTCTGTGGAGTTGTGGCATTTTGAGATTATTGTCCTTCTCAAGGAGTCTTTGAAGTTGTACCACAGAATGAAGTCTTCTTTGCCATATATAGTCTGATGTTTGCATTAATGTTTTCTTCACAGGGATGTACTTCCAGATCAGAGATTTCGTCCTGGGCTGTGTAGAGTGTCAGCGCACCAAGAAAACAGAGGTAAATCGCAGCCCAGAGTCAAAGAGGGTGTTGTAATCCGATAAGTAAAACTATCCTGAGGTAATTTTCCTCAAACCTTCAGCCCCCTCTTTGTTTTTATCCGTTCCTCATCTTCTTCCTCCTCCTTGCACATTTTAAATCTCATGTTCTCGCTCTCGTTCTCACTTAATCCTGCTCTCACACTTTTTATGTGCTTTCTCACACGTTACATTCCTGTAATGATGCCTCTCTATCTGCTTCTGGGCTCCTGTCTTTGCCTCTCAGGAACTGGGCGGAAGAGAATGTGTCACAAAGACGATGGAGTCGCACAGCGCTGACATGCTGAGCAAGCTGAGGAGTCAGCGGGAGGCGGGGCTGTTCTGTGACATTACCCTGCGCACCAACGGGCGACCCTACTTGGCCCACAGAGCTGTTCTGGCGGCCGTCAGCGATCACTTTCAGGAAATTTTCACAGAAATGGACTCGAGCATGAAAGCAGACATAGATCTCACTGGTAAGAACAGATGGCTTGAGGCCAAAGTGACACTAGAAAACATCACTGCTTTAGCTCTGCGTCAGTTTAGGGGATGGATCTGGACATAAAGACCTGATTGAGCCTGCACCATGTCCTCAGATGAGTCAGTCAAGCTTCAGAGACAACAAAATGAAGCATCTGTGCATTAAAGTGTTCTTCTTTAAGTGTACCTAGTTATTAATAGGACTGCAACTGCGGATTAAAGTGCCAGTTGGGTCGGCTGCTTCCAAAATTGTTTGCAACTTTCAGTAATCGACAAGCAGTTGGCAAGATGTGTGGGGATGAAAATGAAATTGGGGTTTGAACGTCTCAAAACACGTTCTTTTAAACAGAACGTGGACTTTTGTCAATTAGTTAATATCCAGAATATTTGATTGTTTACTCTATAAAATGAAATATAAAAAAATATATAATTTCCCGGAGCCTAGGGTGATGTACTCAAATTACTTACTAACTTTACAGTCCAAATGCGAAGATATTTCTATGACTACGTGTGACACCCTTGCATTTGAGAAGTTGGTACCAGCGAATGTTTGGCATTTTGCTTTAATAATGATTGAAACAACTATTTTATTGTCAATCATTTATTTAATCAGCTAATCGACTAACTCTAGTTAATGATACATTTAAATATAAACATCAGTGTTTCTGTATTGTCCTTTTTGATTAACATGTCCAGGCAAGAACAAACAGAGGGGATAATGCCATTATTTAGCTCTCTCCCATTGGTCTAGTAGTTCATTCACCAGTGACTGATGAATGAAGTCACATGACAATTCCTCACTTGAGTTTACAAGGTTAATTTCTCATAATCATTCAAACACCCACCAGGTTTTTAGGAAACAGAGCTGCAAACAATACGCTGGTCATTCAGGCAAAAAGGAGGCTGCATTTCAAAGTCCTTTTGAAAATGGTCTGGCTTATCAGTTTGTCGTGCCGTATTTGGTCAAGAAATCCGGAGTTGAAGGATCCAGACCCTGAATTGGGACACAGCCATAGTCTGTCTTCTCATTTACTTATGTCTTTTGATGTGTGTTGTCAGATTGGAGCAGAAGTGGCCCTGATTAAAGCAGTTGTTATATTGTCTCCCGTCATATTTATACGTTGCTCCCACTCTGCCTGCTGTCTCTCTGATCCTCTGTTTACACTGAGTCACTTTCATCTCACGCATCTCACTCACTGATTGACCAGGGTTCAGCATATCTAATTAAAGGCTCTTTTTTTTTTTTGTCCCCCTCAGGTTTCAGTGAGGATAGCCTTCTGTCTCTGCTGGATTTCTCCTACTCCTCCACTCTGTGTGTTCGCCAGGAGGACCTACCTGAAGTCATCGCCATGGCCCGTCATCTGGGCATGTGGCCTGCCGTGGAAGCCTGCTCGGCTCTCATGAAAGAGCAGGAACAGCGACTCTATCCTGGCAAGGGCTTTACCTCAGCTTGTGCAGGTGCATGTCATGAGCGTCACTGCCAGCGGAGGGAAATCAAAAGGAAAAGGGTTTTGGGATTAGAGCACAGTATAACCAACAGTTTCAGTGTATCGCTGGATACATCAGATGAGTCTTTAGAAGGAAGTCCAAGACGCAATTTGCGCAGGACGCCGAAACCCCAAGGCCATAATGGCCTCCCTCTGAGTCCCTCACACAGGATGAAGCTCATGGACTTCAAATCTCCCTCTTCAAAGAAAGCTACTGCATCTCGACACGCCATGGCTACCCCACAGTCACAGAATTACTCGCCCATAACACCATCAAACACCCGTCTTCTCCGCTCCACTCCTGGTGCTGCCAAGGAGGTTCAGAGATTGCTTCCCAAGCTAGAGACCCCTCGGAGAAACAAAAAACCTCACTCTGTCACCCGGCTCTCGTGCAACTCCAGATTGAGGCCTAGCGCTGTGTGTAGCCCTGTGAGAGTGAAGCAAGAAGTTGAGGAAGTTGGAGAGGATGAGGAAGATTATGCGAGAGCACAGGAGAAGTACAAGCTGATGAATGTTCTTGGGTTACAGAGGACCGCCCTCCTCCCCAGACCAGAAGATTTGATCGGCTGGAGACAAAAGAAACGACTGAGGAAGCTGAAGGCCAACAACTATTCCTTGACCAAGCGGCGGAAACCACGTTCCACTTCTCCAGGGCTACCATTTACTGATGTGACACTGTCACTTCCCCTCTGTAACCCTGTTAACACTCGTCTCCTCAACAAGTCGGTAAAGACCAAGCCTCTGGGTCCAGTCAGCAAGGAGCAGATGAAAACAAAGAGGCCAAAGACTGTCCCGCGACATGTCCCTCCAAGTGACAGGAGCATGCGAAGTCAAGGTGTGTTACCAGACATATTTGCACCATCCTTCGGGGGGAGGGAACTGAGGCGGTCAGTGAGGAAGGGTGACCGTGCCCATCATCCTGTCCAGCAGGCTCTACGACACAACACCAACAAATCTCTGATGAGAAACAGAGTCCGGATCAAATCAGAACCAGCTGAATACTCTATCTCAGGTCTCCCTCTTCCATCAAACAATCACCACGGCCACACACCCCACGATTCAGCACCCTCAGAGTGGACACAGACCAAAAACAAAGCCACTATAGAGGCGGTCAAAGCGCTGCGTTACAACAGCAGCCGACCAGCAACAAAGGGCAAGCTTAGGCGGGGCTCCACAAGAGAGGTGGAGAAGACAAAGTGTAAGCCCAGAGAGGTGGAGAAGACAAAGTGTAAGCCCAGAGAGGAGGGGAGGAAGGTGGGAACCCAGGGGGTCAGGGGGGTCATGGACACTAAACCGAGAGTGAAGGTTAATGAACCTGGTGGGCTCCAGTTCTCAGAGCAGGCACCTCCTCAGTCTATCTACAACCACCCTCTGTACAAAGTCATCAAAGAGGAGCCAGCAGAACCTGTGCCAGTCGGACAGTTCTCTGATCCTCCCTCACCAGACCTGGGCAAGCGCCAGAGCAAGCCCCCCATCAAATTACTGGACTCAGGCTTTCTGTTCAGCTTTTGTCGGCCAGCAGGGGGTGCGATGGCGGCACTGAAGAAAGAGGAGGAGAGCGTGGATATCTGCTTAACACGCTCTGTGTCACAAGTTGGGGAGAAATTTGGAACGGAGGAGTCCCCCCACAGGGCCCTGAGAGCCAGAGGGACACCCACCCTGCCTGTAGTGAAGAGGGAGAGGGAGGAGAGGAGCGTGAGCCAAAGCAAGGTTCAGAGACTAAGGTCAAACTCCCGAAACAACACTCTTCACCTGGCCAAATCTGCAGGTTCAAAAGCCCCAAGGACTGTGCCAAAGGTAAATTAAAGAGAGGGTAGTGATTTATGATGACTGCGGTGATTCCTTGAGGGAACATAGTAAACCATATAGGAAAAATGCAGTAAAGGAACAACACTGTAGAAAATCACTGTAATATAATCAGGAATCTGTACTTCTTACTTTCCTTTTTATCTAATAATTAGATTTTGCATGTATATACATATTCAAAATTTTAGTTAACTCATCTATACCTGTTCCCTCCCTGTCTTTTTCCTGCATCTCCAGCAGCAAGTTAGACGCCCTCTGAGCACCAGGAGCTGTGTCATGCAGGATGCTGTACGACGTGCAAGGCTAAAGCAGCTTCGAGGGCCTCGTAGTCAAGCTCCCAAAGTCCCAAAGGCGGCCCATGCCTGTCTTCAGTGCCCAGCCTCCTACAAGGACTGTGATGCTCTAATCATGCATCGCCTCAGGCACATCGAGGGCAAGCACTGGCCATGTCTGGTAAGCCCTGGCTTCCTCAAACCTTAACAATCCAGAACCACATGACTCTAAGGGATAGAAAATTATGACCCAGAGCACCGAAACACTGCACATTTTATTCCCGCTATGCAGTAAACTATGTGATTTAGAGTGAAATACAGTTGTGTAGTGAGATACACGATTGGTTGTTTAAAAAAAAAAAAGGAGCAGACTTTTATAACACATGGTTGCCAACTCATGGTCCTAGGCACTGTGGTGCAGTAGTGTAAAATAATGAACATGAATTACCATTATGAAGTACTTGGCTTCTCCATTTAATGCCACTTTACGCTTGGATATATTGTACTTTGTTATACTTTATACAGATTAAGCCAACAAGACAACTGGTAGTTGAATTCTTTCAGACAGAAATGCACTAACTCTGTCTCCAGCCTTTATGCTAAGCAAAGCTAACCAGCCACTGGCAGTAGCTTCATATTTGTCGTACAAACTTCAGATGGTCATTGAGCTTCTCACCTAAGTCTCATCAAGAAAGACATGCTCTCAAAATGTCAAACTATTCCTTTTTAAAGGGAGACTTAGAACCTGTTTTGTATTATTATAATGTGGGTAGTATATGCAAAGGAGCATGTTACCTGCACTCAGAGCTCCCCGCTTATTTCCGCAACATCTGGCAGACTTTTGCCCGTTCCAGGTGTGTTGTTCAAACTACAGGTTGTACTTCTACGTTTTTACATGCCTGCCTCCTCAGACAGTCTGATTGAAAGAGGGGTTTTATAAAAAAGTGATTCCCCCAACACCCTGTTCTCACTAGGCTACTACCTTAATGTAAAGAGTCATTTCTTATTACTTCCTATGATAAGCAAGCATACTACATCACAGAAAGTGCTGGGAATATTTAAGTTCTCATCTTGTTTTATTTCAGACCATAATAAACACATGGCTCAAACTTACAAAACATTGATGAGTCAAACAAGTTCTGTAGCTTTACAAAGGGAATATGCTACAACTTCTGTAAAAATGAATAAATAAAATATAAAAAAATAAAATGTGTGCTTCCTGTTTAACAGAGGTAGCTATACAAAACAGACATCTTCTGTTAAAATAAGTGCTTCCAATGCACAAAGTGCAATCTCTTACTGTAACGTAAATTTACATACTACTAATGTACTTACAACTGTAAGGTTTTTGAAACAAGTATGATTTAACCCACTGGTAACAAAAAAGTGCAATCTTACAACTGTAAAGTTGCACTCCTGAATGAAACTACAACAGTCCACTGTGAAAATGAAAACTATAACTATATAATTACATCACTTCATAACGTTCCCATGGCAACAGGGGAAAATGGCTGCTCTTGTGTGAAGTAAACGCAACATTTTTCAACTTTCTGTTAAGATATGTGACTTTTTTGCAACGAAAATGCGGGGATTATGAAATCATGCAAGCCCCGCATATTTTGCGCAGAAATCGGCAATTTATGTGGCAAAAGTGCGGCATATTTGAAAAAATGCGGCCCCCGCATAAATATGCAGACTTTGGCTGATTATGCCTTTAATTATGCGATCGCATAATTGCGTTTTTCTGGAGGGACTGATAAAGATTCTGTAACTAGTCTATTTCTTGCCTCAAATGTTTTCAGAAACATATTTTAGTGTTCTGTTTCTGCTGTAATACAAGAAAGTTTGTGACCAGACCGCCCATTTTTTCCTGCTTGAAAATGTGTTTTAGGTTTTCTACCTTTTATGAGCAAGAGGCATTCTTAATTTGTGTCTTTCTACTGCATAGACAACAAAGTTTTATGGAAAGACAATTTTTTCAGCTGTGAAATCATATTTCCTCATCCGTTGCTATGGTGTCTCATAGGGATGTCACGAGAACCGATACTTCAGTACCAAGCAGTCTTAAGACATGACAGTACTGTTTAATGTCACAACTGCGCAAGTGTTTGTACTCACAAAGCTTTCGTGCCCAGTACAACTCGTCGTCCACTCTCAACACTGTCTCTCCACTCGGCTGTGCTGTGTGCGTGTGTGCAGAAGTTCAACCCCACCCACCGCGGGGGGTACCTGAGCTGCTGTTTGGTGGAGAGAGACGGACAGCAGTGGAGAACACATCACTGCAAGTGAGACAAAAGCCAAAAAGAGTAATTTAATAATCTAATCTGCACAAAAGATGCACGGACGAGGAAAATAAACGCTCAGCACAATACAGTTCATTCAGGTAACTCAGGCAAAGGCTGCACTGAAGTAACAAACACTGCAGGACACTAGGATTACAGAGCGGATTGTTAAGCTATTTTATAGCAAAGCTTGTTATTTAGTGAAGTATAAAAAAACATTAAGGAACAACTTGGATGCAGGCATTTTTTTCTTAATGCAGTGAAGACCTTTTCACCTGTATTATCAAGTATTGGATGAGGACTCTGTATCAATAGATACACTCAATATTAAATGGGGATCCATGGCAAACATTTTTACTGTTGTATCAAATCTTTACAGAGTATCATGGAATTTCACTGGTATTTGTATTTACTACAAATTTTCTGGTATTGTGACATCCCTAGTGTCTCATTTGTAGGGTTGGGGTCAATCACAAAGCTTCTCCGTTGTCCTCTTCTGTTCATTCCTGTGCCATTGACCCTTTGTCTTACCCTCTCTGCTGTGTAGCTCTGCAGCAAGACGTTCTTTCGTCTGAGGAATGTACGGAACCACATCCGCACCCACGACCCCAAGTTGTACAAATGCCGGAGCTGCATTGTTGCCGGTTCCTGAGGCAGCTGGAGGGTCTGCTCTAGCAGCGAGACTGAGGTGGGTGAAAGTGACACCTTTCAAGGCTGAGCTACACTTAACCAAATAGCTGAGATGCTTCATTCTTGGTTTGCACATCTGTTATCTTGTGCGACGCTGTCTGCAAGTGAAGCTCCATTTGTTGAGGGCGTGCAGATGATTCTTCTCACTCTTCAGACTTGTTGCAGAAGCTGTCAATACACCCCTGTGCATTGTGATCAACATCCACATTGATTTTCTTTGGAGTACCTCTTCTGTTCCTTAACACTCGTGTTTATTTTCCAGGATGAAGGCTGTCAGTGTCTGACACCAGCGAACAGACTGAAGCCAGAGGCACATGATCGATCAGCAGCTTGTACATAATGCATCTGTCACACACAAGCACAACGGTCTGTGGAAAGGCATAATTACTCTATTTCTAATCATTGCTGTTGTCAATGATTGCTAATGTTATTTAAATAACCAAACCAAGGTTGCTGGTCCTGTTTGCTTTTCCGTAGCTACAGAAGGTTAAACTTGAACATTACACTCAGGGGGCGGGGAATGTGATGCCACGGTATAAAGTGATTTAACGTCACAGTTGTGTATAAAATGAAATGTAAAGTGATTGTTATAACTATTACTGCTACTTATTGTTATCATTATTTTTCTATGTATAGATGAATTTTGAGTGCACTTATATCATGGCTTATGTTGTAAACCTAAGAAGTGGTAATGAAATTGAAGGTTTCCACGGAGGGAATACTTGAAGTGATGCGAGTGCTGGAGGGAATACTTGAAGTTAGAGGGAGTCTTAGGAGTGAGACTGTCCTTTTTGGGTGTTTCAGTGGGTCTTTGTCCTTTGGTGTGCTAACTTGACTAGTTTGCCCCTCCTTTCGTATTGATCTGCTCGTCTCTCATAGCCCATGAGTCGGGATTTGACAATGGGCTTTTATGGTGACACCACTGCATGTGTATTTGCAGGCTGTTTGTAGTCCACTGTCTTTTCTAAGGCTGCCAATTTTAAAAAGGGAAACGTGTCTGGTTTTTAATGTGAATTTCTCAATATTAATCAACACAACTGTGTCATTACAGATGTTTTATTGATCTCTTCTTCCACTTCAATCCAAGACACTCGTCTTGTTCTACTTCAAATTCCCCTCCTACTGAGTCAATGCAATGTGTTCACATGAAGAGATGTTTATGTTTCACAAATTGATTTTAGAAATAAATGAGCTGTCTCTTGCTATCTGTTAAAAGACTGAATAAATTTTTGCTTTTTATATCTTGTTATTCTTGCTTTGATTGCGGGGTTTTATATATACTGTACACTGAAACTGAAAGAGACACAATTATCTGGAGTTGGGAGTTATGTTTGGAGTTTGAGGAGGATTGCTGAAACAATTAGTCGATTAACTACTATTAATCAGCTATTTAGATTGATTAATTGTAAAATAATTTTAGTATTTGCTTTTTTTGTCTTCTGTAATATTAAATTTAATATATTTAGGTTTTTTACTGAAATAACAAGGGGTTGTTTTGGGCTTTAGGAATTTTTTCTTTAATTAAAAAAAAATGAATTTAGAAAATAATTAGCACATTAAGAGAAACAAAGTAATTGTTACATGCCGTCTTGGGAGAGAAAACATTTCCATACAAAATATGAACTGTATGACATTGTTCTACTGCATACACAAATATAGTGGTGGTGAATAGACACTGGATTGTTGGATGCATCTGCAGTGGGTTATGCATTTCTGAGCGCTGCGTTTATCCAGGCGGGAGGAGGATGAGGAGTTTTGTCTGGGGAGGTCATGATCCAGGAAGAATGAAGAAGAGCGTTAGGCATGTATCACACATCTTTGCATCCTTTCTTACTGACTCATCTGCAGCTAAAATAGAGGTCTTTATATTATCACGTGCAGCTGGATGAGATGAAATACAGACTTGTGTTCAATTAAGTTAAAATGAAACTCATGATCCCTCTGGAGGACATTTGGCCACTACAACAACAGACTGGGATAGGAAATACACAGCAAGGATGGGTAGAAGCAAATAATAGTTCTAGGAGACAAGGAAGGCATATTGAGGTGTGGAATGAAGCAGCAGGAGTTCACAGCAACTGTAGAAATTAAGGCTGCTGAATAAATTAAAGGACTAGTGTCTAGGATTTTAGGGTAGCGTGTCGGAGAAACTGTATGTGGCTGCAAAAGACACCAAAGGCTCTTTGTAGAAACATGGCGGTTCAACATGGCAGCCTCCATGAAAGAGGACTCACTCCCTCTGTAGTTAAATTCAGGTGATTACACACAAATGAAAACATGCCAATGAATATTATATTCCAATTCTGCCAATAGATCCTCCTAAATGTCACACACTGGACCTCTAAATGAAATATATACTGTATAAATATACTGAATGTCCAAACATATACATGAATTTGGGGAAAGGTATGTGTGCAGCATTACTCGCCTAAACCAAATGTATTCTGACTGCAGATGTAAATCAAAACGACAGAACAGAAAGTTACAAATTTGCATTTTGTCCCGTTCTCATTAATATTAGCATAATAAGAAAGCACTGAAGGATGGAGAGGCATATGCAGGGAAATTGCACTGCTTAACAAAAAAGATATGCAGATAAAAACAGATCACTAGTGCAATAAAACCAACAACATTGTTAAGATAAATCCCAGCATGGAAAAAGTAATCCAGGATGGATCGTGTGGACAGTGCAGACATCCGAAGCTGTGTGATTAGGGAGGATTTGATGTGCTGTCAGTACAAAAGAGCATCTAAAGTAAGGGTGAGCCGCAAGCTGAAGGTGCTGCAAGGAGTAATAGCTCATTATAGAAGGTGGGAGGTGCTCTCTTAGATGGAGTTTAATCTCATCCTCCCTTAGTAGCTGTCTCTGCAGTCTTTTCTCATTTGTTTATCTCACCTCCTTCTCGGTGTAGTCAAACTAGTCTCAGCACTGGTGATAGGTCTGTGATTCATGAATAAATAAACGTCCAGTATTCTACATGTAGTATGCAAAGCCAACGTGAAGTTCATCATTCTAACAGCGTCCCCCTTTTGAATGTTTAAAACGATTTTTATTGTGGGATAGATCAACAAATTAAATGAAATGAAATCAAAGCTATTGTTGCAGTGTTGAAATATCACCTTTTTTCCCTTCAATTAAAATAACTTTTTAGATATCTTTTTCTTTTTTTTATTTACAGATGATCACACAACAGTTTGATATTGTATTTAGAGTTTTGAAACGCTTTAATCATCCTGTAATCCACAAATGCAGGTTGTGTTTGAGTGCTGGTGCCTCTGTAGATATATGTCAACTTTTTAGACATTTGTATGCACAGGAAGAAGGTTGAGTCCTTGCTGCAGCGGCCCAGGGTTCGCTGATGTGCGGCCCTTTGCTGCAAGTCATCCTCTCTCTCCCCCCTTTCCCTGTCACTCTTCAGCTGTCACTGTCAATTAAAGGCAATAAAACCCCTAAAAAATCTAATATTGTCAGATATACTTCCTTTAGGCTGTCAATACATACATGGAATACTTGACAGATATTTAATTGGGTCATATTTGTCTGTGGATATGAGAATGCATTCACAGCCTGTTATACATTGCACTAATCGCCCCCCCCCCCCCATACGTCCCCCTATTTCGAGTACAGGACATAAGTTAAAGGCTCAGCATTTGCACAAGTGTCTTTGAGGCAAGTTGCTGAAACCCGAACTGCTCTGCTGCTGAATCTCTCACAAGCTGTGAAGTGGGACGAGTCAAAAGAGAATTTTTCAGCAAAGAAATCTCACTGGTATATGTGCTGTAACGAAAATGTTCATCAAACCAGACAGACAGAGGAAGCAGGGACTTCTTTGTTCGCTCTCTGTCGGACTCAGCAAAAAGCACCACGATTCCCATTCATATTTCTTTCTCCTTTAAGTGTATCACTTCCCATTTTTTGGATTAATCAGGTTTCACTGCCAGTGTCTCCACCAGCAGAACCGCAAACATATAATTGTTTCTGTTATTCTATCTCTGATTTCAAGTGAATTAATTGTCCTTTTTGCTACAATATTGCACAGGTTTTGAAGTGGCACTTATTCAACTCCTTAAACCAACAGTACCCAAACCTGACACTAGATGACAGCCTACACTAGTGGATAACAATGGCTGCTTGACAACAATAAGTCTACAATGCAAAATGGTTCCAGCCATATCAACCACTACTTCTGGAAACCTCCTGACACCCCCAATGTGTAGTATCTGAGAGTGAGGGAGAGAATTATAAGTCAAATCAATTTATTCCTAGAGCACATTTAAAAACAAGTTCTAGAATGATGACACCCTTCAATGACTTCTGGCTAGACATAAAAAATGCATTGCGTTGACACGGAGTAACCCTGCTTGTGAGTTGTGACTTTGAATAAACTGTCTTTGATTGCAGGAGAGGACAGAGCAGTACACAAAGGTGACATTACTAGTGTGACACCACTAATGAGAGTGTGTTAATGTGTGCATTAATGAATTTAAAAGGCCGAAAAGAAAGTATGTTGACGTTAACCCCGCAATACCATTAGCCTCAGTATCTGTTGCAGCTTATTATAGAGTGAAACTCTCAGTGCCTTCACGCTGCAGCATTATTCGGGGGCCTCGGTATACTTTTTCAGACTCATAACCAACAGGGCTTACTTGGGTTACCCTTGTCCCACCAGCGACTGCATATGTGGGCTTATGTGAGTTTAGGGAGCCATGGAGAGTACGCCCAGGAACAGCTGACAATTTATGCTAGTGGGGCCCCAACATTCTCAGAGAGAGAGAGAGAGAGAGAGAGAAGGGGGGGAGGGAGGCATGGGGGAGAAGGAGAGAGAGAGGACAGGAGAGAGGAGGAAAAAGAAGGGGGGATGGAGAGGGGAAGGAGAGAGGACGGCTTGGAGCAGAGCAGACCTAGGTTGAAGGGTTGAGAGAAAGCGAAAGAGAGAGAGAGAGAAAAAAAAGGGGAGAGAGGGAAAGGGAGGCTGTCTTGTTTGTAGCTTGTCAGCAATTGCTTGAGACAAGCTTCCCCTCCATGTGTGAAAGCTACTTGGCAGGAATGCTTGGGCTGTACCAAGTGCAGCCAGGCGAGCGGGGGTTCCATAAGAGGAACAGACCCGGATTGAGGAGCCAGTGTGTGGCTGAAGTAATCCTTCGGCGGTGTCGGCTCTTTGATGTTGTATCTTTGTGGATGTGTGTGTATGTGTGTGTGTGTGTGTGTGTGTGTGTGTGTGTGTGTGTGTGTGTGTGTGTGTGTGTGTGTGTGTGTGTGTGTGTGTATGTATGTGTGTGGGGGAGAGGAGAAGAGGGAGGGAGCGGTGTGTGGGTGTGAATGGGGCTGGAGAGAGCGTTCTGTATGGATATGTGCTCTCTCTCTCCCCAGCAGCAACAAAAGAGAGGGAATGAGACACCCCCCCTCCTCCCCTCGCTCCCTCCCTCCCCGGCTCTCAAGAGAAAGAAAGCAAAAAAAAAGGAAAAGAAGATGATGAAACCTGAAGTGGTCCTGCAGTGTGAATTGTGTGTGTGTGTGTGTGTGTGTGTGTGTGTGTGTGTGTGTGTGTGTGTGTGTGTGTGTGTGCATATACACACAGATACACACAGATGCTCCTATGTGCATTTGCATATTTGTCTGTGTGTGTGTCTCTGCATGCATGCCTGTGTGAATAGCTTCTTCAATTTAATCTGTTTACTAACAATCTGTGTGTATCCTGTGTGTGCTATTTATGTGTTTGTCTGTGTGTGTGTGTGTGTGTGTGTGTGTGTGTGTGTGTGTGTGTGTGTGTGTGTGTGTGTGTGTGTGTGTGTGTGAAGCCCAATCTGTGTGTGGGTTTCTGCATGCAATTGTCCCTGTGTGTCTGAGTGGTGTGGTCATGTTATATGTTTTCTCCCCAGTAGAGGCTGTTATTGTCCTAAGAATGTGTGTTTGTGTGTGTGTGTGTGTGTGTGTGTGTGTGTGTGTGTGTGTGTGCGTGCGTGCGTGCGTGCGTGCGTGCGCGCGCACAGGGTCAATCTCCAGTAGCCTGTTGCTTTCTGCTCCTGACTGCTCTCAGCTCTACATCAGGAGGAATGCCGACTGAGATGGATTCCTGCAGGATTCCTCTTCTCTGGCTTCATTATTCCCACTGCCACCGCTGAGCAAACACGCACAAAAACACACACATTTCGTCTGGTTTGCTGACACAAACAGGAATATCCTACAACCTCAATTGATTGGTCTTAATGATGAACACACAGCAAGAGTTTACTTCTTT